GGGGAGAGTGGAGGCAGCTTCTCAGGGCTGGCAAAGGACAAAACAGGAGGTAGGTGTGAGTCCAGTGGAAGTAGGGAAACGTCAGGGCAGGGACCAGCAACTGTGCCCGGAATGTCCAGTGCACAGAGCACCATGCAGACAAGCCTGCAGAGGAGGCAGGAGGAGCAGCACAATGGAGAGCTGGGAAAGGGCTTCAGCAGGGGTATCAGATCTGGTTTTAGATCTTTCTGCAGCCAACCACAAAGAGGAAAACGCAGTGAGAGAGTCTGGCAGTGGGGAGGCCAGTCTGGGGGTTCTTTTACATACCCTGATAGGAATTGATGGGTGCCTAAACCTAGGCGATGTCCAAGAGGATGAGAAAAGAAAGGACTGGATTTGAGAACAATGCTAAAGGTAGAGCAGTAAATGGAGGGAGACAAGAGAGACATCTAGGATGATGCTGTTTCTGGCTTAACTGAATGGGTAGATGATGGTGTATTTGTTATATTAAAATAGGGATGCATGAGTTGTAAAGTTTGAAATGGAAGATGAGTTCAATTTGACATATGCAGTGATTGTGATACCTGTGGGGCAGTTATATGAACTTGAGGAGGTAGGAATACAAGAGAAGTGTATACTGGGAGACAGGAATCATCAGAGGGGAGGTAGGAGTTAAAGCTAGAGATAAAAACTGAGGAATACATTAGAAGAACATAGGATGGGACTCCAGGAGTATCAATGTTTAAAGGGATGAGAAGAAGACAGGCCTTGGAAGGAAATGGAGAAACTGCTGGAAAGGTGGGTAGGAAGAAAACCCACAGAGTATAGTCACAATCACCTAGCCCCTCTCTTCCCAGTGCCCCCAGACACCTCCCTAGATGAGGGCAGCCAGGCTGGGTTCTAAGCTCTCACCTGGAAGCCCGACCCTGATAGGAGAAACCTTGTCTCTTGAAATAATCAACTACATCATCACAGCAGGTCTTGAGAGTGTTCACTCGCACAAATCGAGGCACCTGAGAGGCTAAGAGGCAATCAGTGGTGAGCGGGCAGGGACAGGCCCTCTCTTCTGCCCTACCCTCACAACTCCTTCCAGCTCACCTGAGCCAGGCCTGGATTCCACTTCCAGCAGGTCCTCATTCCGGCTCACACCCCGATGAACCTTGAGCCTGGCTAACTCAGCCTTGAGCCTTGCCTGGTGCCGGCCCAGCACAGGCTTCCATTGGCCTCCACGGCCTTGAAAGCCCTTTCCCAACAACAACTCATATACTAGCACCTGGGGATGGAGTAACAACAACAAAAAACCCAAACATTAATGCCTTAGAACTCTACGGAGTGTTGGAGCTGGAAGAGCTAAATACACCACCTGTCCAGACGGTTACCGGTAAAGGTGGGGTACCTTATCCAGGATCACACAAGTGATTACGGCAGATAGAGGACTGGAACCTAGCATCTTCTGAGTCCTGGACCCTTTCCCCGTGGATGCTCACCAGCGCAGCTGTGGACGCCAACCACCACCCCCCTTGCCAACAATGCCCTTCTGTTTTCTTAGTCTGTGCCCAGTGCTACTTTGTACTTCTGTTCCTATATAATCCTTCACATAAACCTTGAAATGAAAGCATTTTCACTCTTTCTCAATTCGGAAGCCAATGAGGGGGCTACTCAATTTCTCGTGAGCGACTAGTTCCAGTCACGCCGTGCATGACAACAGAGCTGTGACCAGGTTACAGACTCCCTAACCCTCATGGCTCTCTCCCCAGCCCTGTCCCGCCCTACCCCACCCCACCCTCTGCCTGTCACCTTAGCCAGGTGTGGCCGCAGCTTCTTCTCGGCGCGGAGGAGACCGGCGCTGGCGATCACGGCGTCCAGCACGGCGGAGTAGCGCTGCGTCTCGCACACCAACGCGTACAGCTGCTTCACGTTCTGCGCGTGGCCCAGGGGAGACACGCTGTGCCGGGGCGGCGTTGACCCCCGCGCCAAGCCCCGCCACCTGCTCCCCGCCCGGGTAGGTCTTGCCCTTTCTACCCCCCACGGCCTGCGCCCCGCCCCGCTACCTGGAAGCCGCTGGAGTACACCAGCCCCTTGATAGAGCCCTGGCGGCTCTCCACGCCCGCCAGCACGGCCGCTGCAGCCGCGTAGAGCGCCATATTCCCATACACCTTTACGACTGTGTCGCAAAGCGCGCTTGGCTCTGCGTCTGCCCTGACTTCCGGGGTCAAAAGTCACGGACCTTCTGGGACCGGGATCCCGGTGCCTAAGTCTTCCAGAAGCGTGTACGGGTTTATACAGCATCCGTCGTAAGGAGTGCGACTTTGGGAGCCCATTTCGCCACTTTTTCACTAGTTCTTCTGTTTCTATTTTCAATTTTGCCAATTTTATGGGCAAATAATGGGATTTTACTGTCGTTTTAATTAAATTTCTGTTATTGAGTTTGAATATCCTCACAATTATTGGTCATATCCTGTGTTGTCACATATTAATGTCTTTTGCTCAGTTTTCTATTGTCTGTCCCTTAGTGCCCGTTAGGTATTAATAACATATACCTCTTGTCTTAGGTATTGAGGTTTTTCCAGTTTATTGTTGCCTTTTAATGTAGTTTACGGTTGTTTTGGACAACATTTTATTTTATGGTGTGTGCCTTTGGTGTCATGCTTGGAAGTCCTTTCACAACTCTACAATGTAGAAATCGCTTATGGCTTTTTTTTTTTCTACACAAACCTGTAATCCATTTAAAGTTCATTTTGCCATATGAGATAAGGAAGGGGGGGCTCTTTGTTTCCATATGGATTGCCTTTGTCCATGGATTGCAGTGATTGATTTGTAGGAATGTTTTCCCCAGCCTGAGCTCTGGGAGGACAGGAATCGAGTGGTACTTGTCCCTGTGTCCCTAATACCTTTTCTGGTTACTGGCACATAATAGGTTGATTGAACAAAATGAATAAACCTGGCACACGTGTATCTCAAGCATTCAAGTAGACAGGTCCCCATGGAATAGAATATCCTAGCCTGCCCTGCTGAGATTGCTAACAGCACATCAGCAGGCATTTTGCAAGAGGGTTGACTCTGGTCTACATTAAAATTACTGAGTTGTTTGAAGCTTTAACCAACTCCTCTACTTCTAGGGGTTTTTTGCTTTTTATTTATTTATTTATTTTTGAGATGAAGTCTCACTCTGTCGCTCAGGCTAGAGTGCTGTGGTGTCAGCCTAGCTCACAGCAATCTCAAACTCATGGGCTTAAGTGATCCTCCTGCCTCAGCCCTCCAAGTAGCTGGGACTATAGGTGAGCACCACCATGCCCAGCTAACTTTTTCTATTTTTATTAGAGATGGGGTCTCACTCTTGCTCAGGCTGGTCTGAAACTCCTGAACTCAAGCAGTCCTCCTGCCTCAGCCATTATGAGATGGTCTTGAGGTAGCGCCTCACCAACCTCCCATCCCTCGGAGGGCTCAACAGGTTATTCAGTTCAATCTGTGACCTGTGCCTGGACGCCAGGGTGGAGCTGTTCCCCACAGAGGCTCTCCGCCCCACAGACCTCCAGCAGCACAGGGCTGTGGATCTCTCCGAATCACCATGTCTCAGGTGATTCAGCCCCAGCCATTCTTCCTCTTCAATTTTCAGATTCTTGAGCAAGAATTCACTGGTTCCAGCCTTGGTCTGGGGTAGACACCTGCCCTGTCAGCTGTGAGCAGGAGCAGGTTCACCATGGCCAGGCTCACTCCCTGTGCCAGGCAGTTTTCAGGGATGAGCTGCACCCCATGTCTGGCCCCTACTTGCTTCTGCTTTGAATATTGTCATTTCCATCTCATCTTCCTGAAAGGGAAATCAGAGAGGTCTTTGAGGACAGAGCAGTGATGGAGTGGTGATGTGACTCTAACCATAGACCAAGTGTACAGGAGGTGGAAGCAAGATCTGGCCCCAGCAGAGTTTAGAGATGTATGTATGTGTGAGTGAGACAGGCAGGGTCTCACTCTGTTGCCTAGGCTTGAGGGCAGTGGCACTATCATAGCTCACTAAACCTCAAACTCCTGAGCTCAAGTGACCCTCCTGCCTCCACCTCCCAAGTAGCTGTAGCTGACTACAGGCACAAACCACCATGCCTGGCTGATTTCTCTCAATTTTTAGTAGAGACGGGGTCTTGCTATGTTGCCCAAACTGGCCTCAATCACTCCTCCTGCCTCAGCCTCCCAAAGCTCTGGGATTACAGACGTGCGCCACTGAGCCTGGCTAGAGCTGCTTTTAAAGACTAGCAGGTAGGGGGATTGACCATATCATCTCACCACTGCCTGAGACATGGCTTCTGTTCGATTGATTCTGGAACTACAAGGATCGGCTGGATTCTCCAGTGCCTGATAAGCAGCTGGCACTTGCCTGACAGAGCTGCTTAGCTTATGGATGGCAGTTCCCAGGTGAACAGAAGGCTGCTGCTCTGTTTGAAGAAGAGTCAGGAAAAGATTTTTCCTTTTGAGCTACTTACAGCTCAGAGAATTTGGTATTCTGAAGGCTAGAGATGATTCACCAAAGCCTGCAAATCCCCCTCATTTGGAATCCTGTAGGCCCGATCTATCTTCCGTGGCCAAAGCACTGCTGCTAAAGTTATACAGTATCAAGCACCCGTCCCCAAAGGCTCGGGGACCATTGCAGAAGAGGCGAGTGTGTGAGATGTAAGAGCTGGATGGGGGGTGGAGAGTGGAGGCTAAAGTAACTCTGTCTTGGATGCTGACCTGCCATGTTGACATTGACCCCTGTTCTAGGAATGCCACTAAGATTTCCACTTTATCTCCTGTTACTGTAAGTCCTACCTCCTGGAAGGTACGTTTAGCATTCCTGCCTCTCCAGGAGTGGGTCCACTTCACTTGTCCTCTCCATTCCTGCCCTGTGGTCTGTGAGCCCTGGGTCGGGGGGGTAATAGCAGGTGTCCCCCTTCTGGTCTCACCGCCTCTCAAGACATGGCCTCTGTCTTCATAAGTCCCTATTAGTTGTTTCTTCCTGAGTAAGAAAAAAAAGACTCGTGCATAAAACCGTATGTATGCACAGCAACTAATATTTGCTGGTCATTTAATGAGAAAGAAATAATGTCAAATTTATTATCCTTAATAGCTGTAGAAAGTTGACAATGGAAAGGAAAAGGTGTGTTGGGATGTTTGATCCTCAGTTGGAAGAGTCGGCACGGAGAGCATGTCTGGAGGGGCCGGGGGAGCTCAGCGTGTCCTGTGGGTGCCAAGGCCTGGCTCTGCTCACCCAGGCAGAAGTTAACAAATGCTCCCCTGGCTGACTGGAAAGGGCTTGTGGTCCTTCTCCCTACTATTAAATCTTCTAGAACACACAGGCATGAAGACCTTCCCAAACAGTGATGACATCACCTCAGGACCCAGGGCAACCCCTGGGGTCCCCAGTGCTCACTGGGATGGGCCTGTGGACAGGCGGGACCACGGCAGCCCTAGAGCTTGGTGGGCTGTGGGGGGATGAGGGGGTCAGGCCCGCCAGGCGGGGGCAACACCATGGGCAGGGAGTTGCTGCCCCTCTCGTGCCAGCACACGTCCAGGATGGGGTAGAGCTTGCCTTGGAAGTCAGCCTGGAAAGTGTAGAGCGGTCGCAGGTCATCAGGACGGTCAGCATCGAAGAAGGTGAGTTCTCCCTGCTCGTAGTGCAAGTAGAGCCCGATGCGGTGGGGGTGGCCCATCACTGGCAGGGGCACCCTTGGGCAGGCAAAGGCCTCGTACACCCGTCCCTCCTTCAGGCCGATCAGCCACACGCCGTGCTCCGGGGACTTGCTCAGCTTGCCCTTGCGGTTGGCCGTGCCTTTGATGACCCCCAGGCGCCAGTCGCTCTTGCTGCCTACCACTACTTCCCAGTAGTGGCGGCCGCAGGAGAAGCCCTGTCTGGCCAGGACACAAGTACTGTAGTCGAAGCGCTCAGGCTGGCTGGCACGCCGCTGGGCCAGGAGCCCACACTGCACCACCGTGTTGCCCTTGGAAAGCTCCAGGAGGGGGTGGGCGGTGGCAGGGTCCAGCTTGAGAGACTCTGGGGCTGGGAAAGAGGTCAGGGAAGGCCTGTTGTTCAGCAGGGAGGCAGCAGACCCTGCCCAGCGAGGCTGGTTGCAGGCCCTGGGCTTCTGAGGGAGAGGAACCGAGTCCACCCCAACTCTGTATGACCAGGGCTGAGAAGGGGGCAGGCACAGGGCTGCTCACTGAATGAATAAATGAATGAATGATTCCCAAAGGGTGGAAAAAATGGACACTGTGAGCTGAGGAGTTCTGGTAAGGAAAAAGTGCAGGTGCTGATGGACAGACCCAGAAGACACTTGTCCTGTGTGCCCACAGCTCAACCCCAGGTTTTCTGGAGAATCCATAACTACAACTCTAACTTGCTGGCTAGTGGGCCCATTCAAGGACAGATTGTCACAACTGACCTTTGTGCTGGCTACCAGCTAGTCCATGTACCCCAAAAATGTGAATTCACTGTTCACAGACTATAATTTTCTTCCTCCCTCTCTACTTTTTTCTTTTATATAAACCCTGTTTTGGCCTCTGGTGGATGAAATCAGTTTGTTATTGATCTTCCTTACGCTCAAAACAGCAAGCCAATAATAAAGGAACTAAATATCTTTGTGTTATTTTTTGGCAGAGAGCGCTAGCTACACACACACATACACACACACACACGTATATACAAACTATGCAGCCCCCCCAGGTGAGTGTTAATAGTCCCTCTTTACAGATGAGGAACCTGAGGCTCAAACTGCACAACTTGCCCGGGCCCCAGGCTAGTAAGGGATGGAGCTGATCTTGAATCCAATCTGTTTGAACCCCAACCCCATGCTCTCACCATGACCCTACAGAAAGCTCCCTCTGAGCTCTATATGGCTTAAACTCCTTCCTTTTCAGTTAATGAACTGCTGCCCACGCTGGGTGGCAGCACTCAGGAAGGAGGACTGGTTGGGGCCTCACCTGGCAGAACTTTCCGGAAGAGCCTCTTCCACACAGTCAGCTTGATGTCAGCCTGGTGAAGGCCTGGCTTGAAGGAGATGGGACTGAATGCACCTTCCAAGGGCCGGGCCTGCTGCAGCTCTGCTCTGCAGGTGACAGTTCACAGTATGGGGGAGCTGTGCACCCCAAGGCCAGGTGGGGCCCTCATACCCTGTGGGAATCCACCCAGCCAAACCCACAGCTCGGGGCTGTGCACTCCGATGCCCATCGCTCCCTCCCCTCCATACCCCTCCAGAGAGGACCTGACCTGCCTGCTTCCCAGAAGGAGAAACACTATAGCAGTGGTTCTCAAAGTGCAGGTCCAGGGACCAGCAGTATCGGCATCACCTGGGAACTGGTTAGAAATGCAGGTCCTCAGGTCCCACCCCTGACCTGCTGATCAGAAACTGATTACTGAGGCCAAGTAGTTTGTTTAAATCAGCCCTCCAGGTGGTTCCAGTGCTGAAGTTTGAGAACAACTTCTCTATCTGAACCTGACTCCAGCCACAGCTGGACCGAGCCAGTCATATTCTCTGTCCATACGTGTAAACCCATGTCTCCTAACCACATTATCCCCAAGACTAAAAGATATCTGAGGCTGGGTGCAATGGTTCACACTTGTAACCCTAGCACTCTGGGAGGCCAGGGCGGGAGGAGCTTGAGCTCAGTAGTTTGAGACCAGCCTGAGCAAGAGCAAAACTCCCATCACTACTAAAAATAGAAAAAATAGCCAGGTGTTGAGGTGTGTGCCTGTGGTCCCAGCTATTCGGGAGGCTGAGGCAGGAGGATTGCTTGAGCCCGGGAATTGGAGGTTGCAGTGAGCTATGAGGATGCCACTGCTCTCTACCCAGGGAGAGAGAGACTCTGTCTCAAAAAAAAAAATTTTAATTGAAAAAATAAAAGCAATAAATAAATAAATAAATTTGAGGACACAAGGAGGCTTCCAAGGACAGGACCTCAGAAGGCTCAGGAGCTGCAGAACTGTTCATTTGTCGGGGACATGGATTTGCTCCCATCTCACAATCTGCAGAGCATGTTCCAAGGCCCCTCATTCTGCCTCTTCCCACCTTGTCCCCCATTCCTCCCGGCATCCTACTTCACATCCAGCAACACTGCACTTCTCATGTAGCCCAAGTCCACACACACCTCCACCCTTTCATGTGACTGTTCCCCACTCTGCTTGCCTGGCAAACCCAGGTCCCTCCCCTGCTCAGCTAGCACAGCTGTGCACCTTTGCCAGTCTACCCGGTGTCACCTCCTCCTCTGGTATTCTGTAGTTTGAAAGAACATCTGTTATTCTAGGTACCAACAATTTTGTAACCACCTGCCTCCCTGCCAATCTGTGAGACCCCTGAAGGCAGGGATGTGACTTTCCTGTTTCCCTGGATCAGTGGGCAGCTGCTCGAGAGGCACTGGTTAAACTGAATGAAGGGACCAGTGGGGTGAAGCTCCCCGTGCCTGAAGCCCTCCCCCTGCAGCTCCCTCCAAGGTTTTATTACCTGGAGGTCATGGAGTGGAACTTCTGGAAAACAAGAGAGAGGCAAGTTAAGGCTAGACAGTGGCTCTGCAGAAGCTGAGGGTTATTAGGAAGGGGAAGGCTCTGGGGACCTTGAGCCCTCTCGTGGGGACACACCCTTGTCCACTCACCTGGATGAACTCGTGGTGACTCTCATTACTGAACTGCTCCAGCACATGCTCGGCCTGAGCCAGCCGCTCCTGAGTGCTCTGGGCCTGCTCCAGCTGCATGTCCAGGGAGGCCACCAGGCCACGGGTGTGACCCTCTATCCTCTCCAAGCAGCGGGCCTTCTCCTTGTCTACCAGGTGGTGCAACTCCTGAAACTCGCGGCGGATCACCCAGCTGAAGACATCAGATTCATTCTGGGACAGGGAAGGTTGGTCACAGCAGAGTCACAGCTGAGTTGCCTGGCTCTGGCTGGCCACAGTGTCACCAGGGCCTCCCTTACTGAGCTGGCCATGGCACCTGAGTCCCAGGGGAGGCCACATGGGCTGACACCTGCTAGGGAGTTTACATTGTGCTTGGGGAGCCCTTGAGGTAGCCGTGGGGGAGGGTGACCAGTGGCAGAGAGGTTGGACCCCCAGCTCCCATTTCAAACACTGGCTCTGCTTTCGCCTGTTTTAACTATTAAATGTGCACATTAGATTTTGTTTTATCACAGAGTTCTGCTGTAGGGCAGAGGAATTTGTAGGACAGAGGAAGAGCAGAGGAATTCTTCTACTTGTCGGGAATTCACTTGGGTGGGGCAATGAGCTAACGGCAAACCTTTGCTTCTGGTCATTGCTTGCTTGCTACACCGCTGTAAGGGGAATTATGGGATGAGGTCATTGAAGCACGGGCAACTGGCCTATCAGGCAATAGAGGGCAACCAACCCACCAATTATTTCAAAAGGCAATAGTGGGCAACCAATCATTTTAAAGGTCAACGCATGATCCATGCGTAGTCGGCTTGTGCACAGCTTGTGCACCATGGGGATAAAAGGCATGCCGTTGTTCCGGTCGGGGTCCTTGCCTGTGAGAGTGGCCACTGCGTTGGTGCTCTGGGGCTTGGACCCTGGCTAGCCAGAAAATAAACCTCCTCTTGTGTGATTGCATCCTTGATGTCTCTGCTTTTCTGTCCGGTGGGGCTGTGGAAGGTCGGTCCCTAACACTGCAACTGAAAGGAACCTGACAGGCCATAGGACAGCAGGCTTTGGAAAGAGACAGCCCATAATTCCCAATGGGACCCTGTGTTCTGCCTCCATCAGACACGGGTAAGACACCCTTCCTCTCTGGGCTGGGGTGCCACACCTCCCAGCCTCCATGTGCCTCTCATTTAGGGAGATCAGACAGCTGGGGCTTTGGCCTTTCCACGTCTGTGCGCCCAGTTACTTGAGCAAGGCAGGCTGTCAAGGTCAGGCAGACACAGCGGGCACAGGGGGAGTGGTGCTCAGGCTTTGGGCTGTTTACCTCTGGGTTTCAAGTTCTGGGTTATCTCAGTCCCAAGGACACGGAGGACAAAAGCCAACTTGGAGCCAGAGCTGACAACTGGATTGAATTCCGATGAGAGGCTTTGCACTTGCCCCACCCGACCCTGGAATGCTTTGAATTCTGACTTTATATGGAAGATGTGGTTTTCTGTGGACCAGTCAGAACCAGGCTCTGCTGGAACGTGAAGGTGGCTGGCCCAGGGCAGGGGGCAGAGCGAAAGGGCACTCACGACAATCCGGGTCCTGTTGTTCACCAGTTTGGCGATAAGTTCATCCACCTTCTTCTGCTCTTGCTTGAGGTCAGAGATGAGGGCTGCGAGCTCCTCCTGGAGGCAACAGGCCATGGCCCATGAACACCTGGCCCCTCCACCCTCTCAGCTCCTTGGGACCACTTTCTTGGGAGTATCCCAATGGCCACAAGCACTCCCAGGGAACCAGGGTGGGGATGAGAGCTACCCAGATGCCTTTGACTCCCAGGTTGGTAAGATACCCAAGAATATTCTACATTGACAGCAGGAATTGCCCAGGCAGGATATCTCCAATGACCTGGGGAGAGATGTGAAACGTTACAGCCACCTAGAAGTCACCACAGCACATCTGAGAGTGACAGTTACCAATCTGAAGCCAACACTCCCTGCATTGAATGCTGCCTGTAGGGGACCTGCTGGTTTTAAACTCTCTTGTCAACAGCAGATCCAGAGTTAGTGGGCAACTCTGATCAAGAGTCATTGCAAAAAGCCTGGCCCCAAGTGAGACTAATTCTGGGGTCAGCAGGCTCAGTGGTACTCAGAGTGGCCCAGGTTAAACCTGGTGATTCCCCACTCCCTATCCATACCTGGATCCATCCCTGGCCCTGAAGGTGACCTCGCCTTGCGGGGGCCAACCAGGGCCCCCTGGATCACCATCTAGCTCCACTACTTGACCAGAACGCTGCCAGTTTATGCCCAGGGGAGTATGGAATCTTTGGTTTAGACTGTTCCCAAGCATGAGAGCAAGAGCCTTTCAGGAAGGGAGTTGAGTGAAGAATAAAGCAAGTGAACACACAGGCCTTGCCCTGGGTAACGAGGCATCAGGACACCTCACAGCAGCCCGAGAAGGACATAGCAATGGTCACCGTCTGGAGGCAGAGAGATGGGACTAGTTCCTTCCCATCAACACGGCCACACTGACGGGGCACAGTGGGTCATGCTTCTGATCCCAGCATTCTAGAAGGCTGAGGCAGAAGGATTGCTTGAGGCCAGGAATTTGAGACCAGCCTGGGTAACATAGCAAGATCTCATCTCTACAAAGTAAAAACAAAAAAAACTGGGCCACAGTGAGAGGAAATAAATTATGCAAATGATCCATCTATCAATCAAATATCTCGAGATCTCAATAACAGGAGGCAACAGGAATGCCTGTAAGAGAACAGATAACGGAATTGTACTCTATGCTGCAGCACAGAGAAGAATCTCAGAATCATATAATAAAAACCCAAATCCAAAATGAAGGTACAAGCTGGGCCCCAGCTGTCTCTCACCTGGGCAGCACTTCTGCAAATAAAACACAGACTCACCTTCCTTACCCTGCACTTGGCTTCCTCCTTCCACACGCTCTTCACCTGCTCTTGCCAAGGTAACCAGTTCTGCTGCTACACTGAACAGACTGTCTCCAGTCCTCACAAAAGTTTTGCACACGTGACCTCATTCTTCAGTGCTCTGTCCCTCTCACTGCAGGAGGCCCCACAGCCAGTGTCCCTGCTCCCTCTGTCCATTCTTTTTTTTTTTTTTTTTTTTTTTTTTTTGAGACAGAGTCTCGCTTTGTTGCCCAGGCTAGAGTGAGTGCCGTGGCGTCAGCCTAGCTCACAGCAACCTCAAACTCCTGGGCTCGAGTGATCCTTCTGCCTCAGCCTCCCGGGTAGCTGGGACTACAGGCATGCGCCACCATGCCCGGCTAATTTTTTTTTTTTATATATATATCAGTTGGCCAATTAATTTCTTTCTATTTATAGTAGAGACGGGGTCTCGCTCTTGCTCAGGCTGGTTTCGAACTCCTGACCTTGAGCAATCCGCCCGCCTCGGCCTCCCAAGAGCTAGGATTACAGGCGTGAGCCACAGCGCCCGGCCTGTCCATTCTTTCTGTCCTCTTATTGGGCTTCTCTCTTGCTCCATCAAAATCTGAAATCCTGGTGCTCCTTGAGGTCATCAATGTCTTCCCTTGTCACTCCATAGCCCAGGGGTCCTCAAACTTTTTAAACAGGGGGCCAGTTCACTGTCCCTAAGACCGTTGGAGAATGCACACTGTGGGCTCGGGAAGAGTCGGCTGCTAAGCAGGACAGGCAGCGGTGGCAAAAACACCCAGAGGGCCAGATACATGTGCTAGGGGGCCTGCCATAGCCTCTCCTGGATTGGTCTTCTCCACTCTGGTGGCTTCTGTAAGTCACTCCCTGTCTCTTGTCCTGAGCCCCAGTGCTGTCCTGGTTTCCAGATCCCTTAGACCCAACTGCAGGCCCCAGCCCACACCCAATCCTCCCCATGCAAGGGGAATTTGCAGGCCTGGGCATTGAGCTTGCTGCCTCCCTCTCTGTCCTTCCCATACGCAGCTGTCAGGGTTTTCTCTTCTCCACCTTTTAAATATCTCCTGACTCTGCACCCAGTGCCTTCCCAGTTCCCACCTACTTAGTGCCTGGTGCCCTCATCTCCTGCTCTGTCCTTCGGCTCCAACCTACCCTCCACCAAAGGGACCTGACCACATCACCACCCTGCTTAGCCTGCCCCCACTTTGGTCTCCCACTGCACTATGGGATGACTTCTGTGTCCTCCAGCAGGCCACGCTGTCCTTATGCCTGCATGCTTTTCCTGCTCTGCTTCCCTGTCAAGTCCTCCTTGTGCAGGTCTCAGCTTAGCAGTCCACTTCCTCCAGGAAGCCATCCCTGACCACCTGTGGCCATGCAGGACCCACCTTCTAGATGATCTTGCCTGTGTTTAACCTTGACAGCAGCCCCAACACACCTGTCACACTCCATCAGACCCCCAGACTGTGAGCTCCCCTGGCAGGGCAAGCCTCTTCCCCACTGCTGTCCCACAGGGACTAGCATGGCACCTGACACGTATTAGACGCCCAGGAAACGAGTGAGGTAGGAGGGGCTTCTGACAACCTGGCCAGCTCTATGCACCTCTGCCTCTACTTTCCCTGCCCCTCAGTCCTCAGGTTCACTTCACAACCTCCCCCCCCAGTCACCAGCTCAAGGTCCCTCCTTCCTATCACAAGAGCCTTCCTTCCCTTTCTTGACCTATTGGCAGTGGAAAGAAAACTGGCCTAGGCTTGAGTCCTAGCTCTGCCACTGACAGGCTGTGTGACCTTGGAAGAGACTCTTGCCTTCTCTAAGCCTCGGGTCCCTCATTTGTAAAATACATTAACCACCCCACCCTGCCTGCCTCACAGAATTGTTCTAAGGAATAAATGAAGTTGTGTAGATGAAACGCTTTCATAAACCTCAGATCCACACAAACACTTAAGATGGTGGTATTAATATTAATATCAGTCAGCTTGGGTATTAATTCAACAAAGACACTTTGGACATTTACTATGTGCCAGGCACGGCTCTAGGTCCTGAAAGACACCAGGGAACAAGGCAAAGTCCCCACCCTAACAAGTCAGAGAGGGTGGGCAGGGTAGCCCTCAAGGAACAAACCAGGACTGCACAGAAAATTCGGGGGAGGGGCTGGCAAGTGACACAGGGCTCTCTACCATGTGCAATCGCTGCACCTTGTTTGAGCAGTTGCTCCAAATGCGGAATGAATGAACCGGCCAGGACAGGGCTCCAGGGAAATCAAGTCCTGGCCCTGATTTCCCGCTTTGTGCCAGGTGATGGCGCCAGAGAGCACGGGGTCCCGGCTCCGCGGTCCACCAGCAGGCGCTGCCCCCGCTCCCCGCCAGTCCCCACGTCCCACCTTCATGCGGCTGTAGACGGTGGAGACCGGCGTGACCTGGTGGTGCTGGTGGGAGCCCAGCAGGCCGCAGAGGCCGCAGATGAGCTGCTGGTCCTTCTCGCAGAAGAGGCTGAGCGGGTTGCGGTGGTGCGCGCAGACCTTGGGCTCCGGGTCCCTGGGGAGCCGCAAGGCTTCGATCACCCGTGCCAGGGAGACGTTGGGCGGGGAGCTGCTGCCGTCCACCGCCTGCCGGCACACCGGGCAGCGCAGCTCGGCGTCGCGGTGGCAGGACAGGGAGACCAGGCAGCACTTGCAGTAGGAGTGGCCACACTGCAGCATCAGGGGCTCCTTGAAGACCTCCAGGCAGATGGGACACAGAAGCTGGTCCTCCAGCTCGGGCACGCTCACCTGCCAAGCCATGCGTGCAGCCAGGGCTGAAACACAAGTAGCCACCCTCAATCCTCTCCCATCCCCACGCCTGCCACTGGCCAGCCAGCCCCATCCCCAAGGGCAGCCAGAATTTCAGAGGGAAGGATGTGAGTCCCAGACTCCATCCAAACCCTCTATGACCTTGGGCCTCGGTTTCCTCATCTGTAAAAACAAAAGCTTAAAGGAAAAACGGTCCCATGGAGATACCTGATTCTATATTTTTTACTCAGATTTGGGGGCAAACATGACCCCATCTGTAGGTCATTTGGAGTGATACGATGCAAGCTCCAGCCCCAGGAGGTGTCCACACCTGGAACCTGACAGCAGACACATGCAAAGCTCCTTCCCACCTTCTGGAGCAGTTCTCAAACTTCCTGGGGAAGTTCTCAAACTTCTCCAGTGAAACCCAGACAATCTACATTATAGTAGACACCCCAGGAAATTCTGCAGTGTCTGGGACCTAGAAGGACTCTATCCTAATCTCCCACCCACTGCCCTGTGAAAACCGTCAGAGAGAGAGAAGCACCATGGCCGAAGTCAGCAGCCGCCCCAGGGAGAGCCGTGACATTGAACTACCTGGTTTCTCACGATCCACCTGGCCTCCCACTGAGGTCTCAAGCCAGCACCACTGACTGGATCACAGCCTTTTCTTCTTCCCAGGAGGCAACAGCAGGCACGGAGACCCGAGAAGTGCAGCTGGGCGTCTGCCCCACTGCCCGGTCTCTGCCCCTTCTCTCCTCCCCTTTCCCAGCAACACCCCCGTGTCCCCAAGGTCACCAAGAACCAGGTGGAAACTGGGTCACATCACGGGACTGGGAGGCAGCCTTTGCTGGGCCCGCTCTGATAACTGCGACATTCAGGTGCTGGCCTTGGCCAAAATAGGGGGAGGAGTGGAGAAGAGGCCCTGGCCCACGATCCACACCTCACCTGCCCCCAATAGGAGCTGACAGGTGCTGTAGAGCATGTGCTATAGAACATGAGATTCTTTCTGAATCTCAATCTCTCTCTTTTTTAGAAATCTGAAGGTATTTTACTTGGGTATTTTACTCGGATGTTTAAATTGAGGTATAACTTACGTAAGCATACAACTCTTAACCACACAGTTTGATATTTGATAAACATTTCACCTATGTGTACTTACTCTCAAGATCAAGACGTGGAACGTTTCCAGCACCCAGAAGGCTCGCTCGGGCCTCCTCCCAGTCAGAACCACTAATGAGGAAAGCCACTCTCCTGACTCAGCCATCCTATTGTCATCATATCATTGTGTGGCCTGCTTTTGAATTTCATATGAGCAGAATCACAGAGAATGTTACTCTTTTGTGTCTGGGCTCTTCCACTCATTATTATTGAATTATGAACTTTTTAAATGTGAAATCTTTCAAGGTTTAGAAGTTCAATGACATTCTTTTATACAGTTCATGGATATTACGGTCATAATATATGGCTATGGTTTGAGTGTCTCCCAAATACCATGTGTTGGAACCTTAATCTCCAGTGTGGCAGTAGTGAAAAGTTAACAGATTTATGGGTTAATGGATTAATGGTTATCATGGGAGTGGGACTGGTGGCCTCAAGAGAAGAGGAAGACACCTGAGCTAGCAGCTTAGCTCCTCTATGTGACGCCCGGTGCCACCTGGGGACTCTGCACAGAGTCCCTACTGCAGGAAGGTGTGGGGGAGGGTTTCAGGGGTGTTTACAAACAGGGAGCTCTAGTACAGCAGATCACAGTCCTAATAGGCCTAAGCACCCAGGTCTGCCAGCTGGGTGAGGCCCCTACCCCAGACACAAGCAAGGCCAAAGTCTGGCATAGGTAGGTAGAAAACTAATTTTGTTAACAAATATTTATTTTGTTCAACAAAACTAATTTTGTTCAACAAATATTTATTGAGAACCAGCTGTGTGTCAAGCACCGAACTGGGTACTAGGAATACAGTAGAGAACAAGGCAAAGTCCCTGTCCTTTTGGAGTCTATAATACAGCAGGGGTGGGGGTAGCATTTGGTCATAAATAAACAATACAATAGTGGTACATGCTGTGCAGAGTGCTGAGAAAGGAGATGGGGGGACAGGTGTGTGAGGTACCACTTTAGAAAGGGGCAGGGCAATGTCTTCAAGGAGGTGACTGTTGAGCTGACATCTAAAGGATATAAAGAAGCCAGTCGCTGTGGGAGGCCAAGGTGGGAGGACCACTTGAGACCAGCCTGGGCTACATGGCGAGACTTATCTCTACAAAAAATTTAAAAGCTAGCCAGGAGTGGTGGTGCATGCCTGTGGTCACAGCTACTGGGGGGGACTGAGGCAGGAGGATCACTTGAGCCCAGGAATTTGAGGCTGCAGTGAGGTATGATCATGCCACTGCACTCCAGCCTGGATGACAGAGCGATACTCTGTCTTTGAAAAAAAACAAAAAGCATCCAGCCACCTGACAGGCCAAAGGAGGCAGTCCAGTCAATGGGTCAGCAAGCGCAAAAGCCCTGAGGCTGGAACGAGCTTGGTACTTGTGATACACTAATGAGGAGGCCTGGATAGCAGAGCCTAGTGAGAGGGAGCCCAGGAGCTGAGGCCAGAGAGGTTGGCAGGGAGGGCCTGTGGAGCACAGCAAAGGTTTGGATTTAACTTCAAGGGCAGTGGGAGCTATTGTAAGGCTTTAAGACAGGGGTCCTCAAACTTTTTAGTTTATTTTTTATTTTTTTAAAAAGGAAAGAAAAAACTTTATTATGTAAAGGAAAGAGAAGATACCTATGCAATATCTAGGTCACTGAGGAAGGGCAGAGTAGGCCTCCCTGACAGCTCCATGCCCCAGAGCAAGCTTTGGAGCCAGGCCCCTGGGTTCAAGTTTTTTATTTATTTATTTATTTCGGCATATTATGGGGGTACTTGAAACTTTTTAAACAGGGGGCCAGTTCACTATCCCTCAGATCGTTGGAGGGCCAGACTATAGTTAAAAAAAAAAAACTATGAACAAATTCCTATGCACACTGCACATATCTTATTTTGAAGTAAAAAAACAAACGGGCAAAAACACCCGCATGTGGCCCGAGGGCCATAGTTTGACCACGCCTGCTTTAAGGCATGGGAGTAACACCTCATTTACATTTTTAAAAGATCACTCTGGCATCTGTGTAAGATAATGGGTCACAGTTGCTTGAGCACCTGGGTGGATGGATGGTGACACCAACCATTGTTATTGAGAAGATGGAAGTAAAAAAGGTAAATTGTAGAATCTAAAGTCAGATGCCTGAGGACATCCAAGGGGGAGGGACTGAGTAGCTCTCTGGTCTGCAGACTCAGGCAAACGACAGAGTCACACGGAGGGCTTGTTAGAACATCAATTGCTGGGCCCTGTCCCCAGAGTTTGTTTCAGTAGGGAGATGGGCCCAAGAATGTGCACTTTGAACAAGTTTCCAGGCAACACCTGGGCTGATGGTGTGGGGGCTGCACTTTAAGAACCACTGGAAAAGGCCATTCACCTAAAAAGACACAAGAGCCTGGAGCTGAGGGGAGGCCCTAGGCTGGTATATTTAACAGGTGTATACCGCCTGTTTACAACACATATTTAAACCTGTGGGAACGGTTGGGATATCTCAGGAATTGAAAACAGGAAAGGCAAGGCACTGAGGATGCTAATATTTAGAGAGAGGGAAGAGGAGGAGGATGGTGAAGGGACAGCCAGTGAGGCAGGAAGACCACCAGGAGAGTGTGGTGTCCGGGAAGCTGTGGTGGGCAGAATGGCCCCCCAAGGCTATCCATGCTCTAATACAGGAATCTGAATATGTTACCTTACATGGCGAAAAAGGACTCTGCACATGTAATTAAGGTTACAGCCCCGTATTATCTGAATGGGCCCAATCTAATCACATGAACCCTTAACAGTACGGAATTTTCTCTGGCTAGAGTCAGAGAAAGATGCAGCAGGAGAGGAGGCAGGAGGAATCCACGCATGAGGAGGATTTGATGTACTGTGGCTGGCTCTGAGAGGTAGGAGCCCACAAGCAAGGACCCGAGGGTGGCCTCTAGGAGCTCAGGGTGGGACCAGGCTGAGAAGAGGCAAGGAGACAGGGACCTGGGGCTTAGAGCTGCAGGGATCTGAAGTCCGCCAAAACTTGAATGAACTTGGAAGAAGATTCTTCCCAGAGAGTCCGGTAAATAATGCAGCCTTGCTGACACCTTGATTTAGCCCAGTGAGCGTGGCCGTGGACTCCAGCACACACAACCTGAGCTAATAAGTAGGTGTTGCTTTAAGCATCTAGCTTTGTGGTAATTTGTTACAGCGGTGCTCGAAAACTAACACAGAAGCCAAGAGAAAACAGTGTTTAAAGGTCAGAGAGTTCAACTTTGTCAACTACTGGCAAAGGTCTGGTAACCTGAGGACAAAGAGCTGTGTGATGGGCCAGGCGTGGTGGCTCACACCTGTAATCCGAGCAATCTGGGAGACTGAAGTGGGAGGATCACTTGAACACAGAAGTTTGAGACCAGCCTGACCAAGAGCAAGACCCTGTTTCTATTAAAAATAGAAAAATTAGCTGGGCATGGTGGCACATGCCTGTAGTCCCAGCTGATTGGGAAGCCGAGGCAGAAGGATCACTTGAGCCCAAGAGTTGGAGGTTGCAGTGAGCTATGATGCCACTGCACTCTACCCAGGCAACAGGGAGAGACAAGAGACAGGAGAGACACAGGGAGGGAGAGAGGGAGAGGGAGAGAGGGAGAGAGGGGGGGAGGAGGGAGGGAGAGGGAGGGAGGGAGAGAGAGAGAGAGGTGTGTGATGCATTTGGCAACAAGAGCAGTCCCAGGGGCACGGTGCAGGGGGGATGGTACCTACCTGCAGAGTGAAGCGGTGGAGACAGTGATGGAAGAGGTCTTTGCAGCCCCCTTTTGGACCTGCAGAGCTTGTTTGGAGGTTTTAGCAGGGGAGCGCTTCTACTCGTATACCCTTGACGGAAGAATGGTCCTCCTCTATCGGACTGAGTGAGCATCTTTAGGTAGGACGCACATAGAGCGCGAGGGAGGAAGAGGACACCCGCCTAGCCAGCCAGAGCAGCCAAATCAACCTGGAGATAAATCGCGTGACAGATGGCGCAGATCACCCTCACATCCTGCAGTCACCTTTTGAAGTATTTCTGTAAGAACAGCAGTGTGGGCACCATAGCAGGAAGCAGCAGTGGGCTAAAGGATGTTAGAAGCTAAAGGAATGATCCAAAAGGCAAGGCAAGACTGGTGCAGGAGGTAGGGGATACCCACAAAAATCAAGTCCTTGAGCAGGCAAGAGGGGAAGGATCCTGGGGACAGGGGCTCAGATCAAGGGTCATTCTTCCTTTGCACCAGGAGGGAGCAGGTGCAGCAGGGTTTGCAGACTTGGCCATGAGAAAGTGAGCAACACCACTCTTCTCCCCACCTCAGGAACTTGGTAGTTTGATGTTCAAGTCCTTTCCGGGCCTAAAGTTCTCCAGAACGCGATAGAGGAGGGAATGTGGAAGAAGGTGGAAGTAACCCAGGGCTGAGAGGCCAGACCCTGCCCGCGGCCGGTGGCTCTGGCGTCCTGGCCAGCCGGCCCCCTCCAATCACGAGCTTCACCTGCTCGCCGCGCCCCCGCAAGCGCCCCGCCACACACGCGCGCCACGTGCTCCCTCCACTTCCTGGAGCTCCGTCACGTGCTCTGCCCATGTCCCCCACGTGCCCCATCGTGCTCCGCGCGCCCCATCACGTGCCCCGCACCGGCTCCGCCCACCGCGTCGCCGCAGGTGCTCGGGCAGGTCTCACTCTCGAGGGCCGTTGGCGTTGGCGGCGGTTGGAACGAGGCGTTGAGCGCCTTCTCGTGTCCCCACAACGGAATGCTGCCGTCAGGAGGGGGCTGCCGGGTATATAGGGGGCTTCCGAACCTTCCCGCGCCACAGCCGGGGCGGAGCTGAGGGCTCACGCGCGGGGCTGGCGGCGCAGACATGGGGGGAAGCGCCCGGAACCAGGGAGTCCGGGACGGGGATGACGCCCCCGGCCAGGTGAGGGCCCGGGGGCGCCGCTTCGGGTGTCAACGCGTGGCAGGGGCAGGCTGGGGAGCAGTGGCGGCTGAATCGGGTGGGTCCGAGGCCCTGAGGTCTACCCTTCTTTCGCTACCAGTCCCTGTACCAGCGGCTCAGCCAGAGGATGCTGGACATCTCTGGGGACCGGGGCGTGCTGAAGGATGTCATCCGAGAGGGCGCTGGAGACCTAGTGACGCCGGATGCTTCGGTGCTAGGTACGGCCCAGCCCGGCGAGGGCGTATTCGGGGTCCGGGTGATTGCACTTTCCTTTGGGACGAGGGAGGCCACATTTTCAAAGAGCAGAATTTTATAGGGTTGGAAATGCTTTGTTTGAATTGGGGTTGCTAAGGGAAACCGAGGGACCCCTCTCGCCTTTGCGTGATGCCTCTGTGAACAGTGAACACCGAGGGAGCCTCATCGAACCTCTTGAACCTCCAAACCGGAAGGCAGGCCTCCAAAACAGGGAGAAAAGATCCACGCCTATAGATGAGGGTGTGGCAGCTTAAGCCACAGATTCCGTTGTTTCTGCGTGGTAATTAAATACTCGATATTATGGAGTTGTGGGTGTCTTTGATCCGTTTTCCTCACTTTTCTGTCCTAGTGAAATATTCCGGATATCTGGAGCACATGGACAAGCCCTTCGATTCTAATTGCTTTAGGAAAACTCCTCGGCTGATGAAACTTGGAGAGGGTAAATGAAGATTAAGAGCCGGGGAAGCAGGGTTTGCTTGGGGATGAGATGAGGCACAGTCTTAGGGTGGGAAAGCCATCCAGAGCACAGGTTCTTTGACTTGGTTTTTTCTGAGGCTGAGTTTTGTAAAGCAGTTGTGTTCTCTCCCGCATTCCCTTTGCCACCTAGGGATTTGGGAGAGGGCAGGCTTAGCTTTGTATCTTGGCTTAGCCATTGGGCATTTTTCTTTGTTCATTTATTAAGTAAACATCTATTGAATGCTCACTAACTGCGATGCATGAACAGAGAGTGTACTCGAAACCAGAACGTCTCTGCCCTTCAAGGACTTCACAGTATTGAGGAGAGATTGACTCCCATTCAGACAACTAACCTGGTAGAATTGGATGAGTGCTGGGGAGGTAAAAGCAGTGTTGTGGATGTGCTTAACGAAGGCACAATTCCAGCTAGGATGTTCAAGGAAGGCTTCTCGGAAAAGAGCATTTGAAATGAGCCCTGAAGTTTGAATAAGATAAAAATCAGGGTAGAAGGTGGGCAGGGGGCGAGGAGGGGGATATTGCAGGAAGAAGGAACTGTGTGACTTAGACACAGGATATTGCTGAGTCTGGAGAAGTTGGCTTTGAGAACGGTGGTGGTAGTAGGAAGCAAGACTGAAAATTGAGGTAGTACCATAATGCAGGAGGCTTGGGATAACACATGGAGAGGTTAAGACTTGGAGGGGGAAGAAACCGATGGCATTAAACCAGGATACTGAGCAAGCTTCAACCACATTGTTCCTTCTTCCAGATATTACACTTTGGGGCATGGAGCTGGGCCTTCTGAGCATGCGGAGAGGAGAGCTGGCCAGATTTCTGTTCAGACCGAACTATGCCTACGGGACCCTGGGCTGCCCTCCCCTGATCCCCCCAAATGCCACTGTCCTGTTTGAGATTGAGCTGCTTGACTTCCTAGACTCTGCCGAATCCGACAAGTTTTGTGCTCTCTCAGCTGTAAGTTTCCAGCACAGATGTCAGCACTTTATGGAGTGAGGAATGGGTTGTGGTTTTAGGGATTTTCCTAGATAGCCTACCCTGCTTGCTAGTGATTGTATGCCCTGGGTTCCACCCTAAGGTTGCTGAGCAGTGGGGGTGGGAGGCGGATTCCTCCACTTCCTTAGGAATGGTTTCTCAGGTGTGCATCAACGTGGTGCTGGGCCAAGGTAAGGCCATAGGTTTCTCAGGGATCAGCAGTTTGAACTCATCTTTTGTCTAGTTTTCCCTGTAAGACAGTGAACATTTGCTTTCCAACATTAAGCTTGGTTTCCAGCAAGTCAGTCACTGCTAGCTCATGACTAGGGTGACTGTATAATTGATTGTTTTACTCAGGACACTAGAGTAAGAGGGTCTGTTAACTAGTTAGGATAACCAGGACATCAGGTTTAAACTGGGATAGTCACAGGCAAATTGGGATATATGATCATTGTCCTCGTAACTTAAGTCTTGCCTTTTCTTTGTAGCCTTTCACTTAATCCTATCCCATAGATATAGACCATCTAATTCCATCAGCAATCACATGCACTGTTTTTATCATGCTGTTGCACACTGCTTATGTGGCCTTAGACGTCCATCCTGAGGTTTCATATCTATTACATCAGCACCCTAAATGAGAGATCACACCTTTTTCTCCTCTTTCCACCAGGCAGAAGTTCTTTGAGATGCCTGGGTCCCACGTCTAGTGTACTGATTTAGAATCCCTGGGGGTGGGGCAAAGACCAGAAATGCTCTGCAAGTGATTCTGGTCTGTAGCCAGGGTAGAGCATCATGGCCATCAGGGCTCTGAGCAAACCAACTCCTCCTAAATGCTTGCTGGATAAATGGTGGTTGTGAGCCCTGGTTTCTGTGCTTGGCAAGTTCCATCACTTTCTAATTCTATGGGAAACTGCTGCTTCAGGGAACATCTCTGGAGGATTAAAGAAGCAGAATCCTTTCTGGCTCTAGTTTGTGAAATGGGACCAGTTAATGCTACCTGCCATGTCCTCTGTTGGGATTCAGAGATGACTATGCACACATAAGGCAGGAAACAAAAGTTTGTAGTCTGAAAGAAATTAACAGCTGTAATAACACTTCCATTGTGGCTTTATGGCACTATATCCTTGTTGGGTGTTCTTATCTTTGGTCTTCAGGAGCAACAAGATGAATTTCCACTTCAGAAGGTCCTAAAAGTGGCAGCAACAGAACGGGAGTTTGGCAACTACCTTTTCCGCCAAAATCGTTTCTATAATGCTAAAGTGAGATATAAAAGGGTAAGAATGCTTTGAAAGTGAAGTGTAAGTTTAGATCCTGAAAACATCTTTGCTTGAGAAACGCCTGAAAACATCTTTGCTTGAGAAACGTAGACTTTGTCTCTTTCCCTACTCATGAGCAGCCATTAAGAAAAATATTTTAAAAAATCCTCATGCCGAAGGGCTGTGGCTGGGAGGAGGGACGCTTGGTATTGGGAGGCACCTAGAAACATTCTCTGTTTCCATCTGGGTGCTGATTACATGCGTGTGTTCAGATGGTGAAAATTTCATCAAGCTGTGCACTTATTTGTTTTTCTTTTGTTTTTGATTTCTTTCACCCAAATTATTTATCTTTTAATTATTTCAGCGCATTTATTTTTGTACTTATTTGTGTGTGTGTACTTCAATTAGAAGCTTCTTAAAATTCCCAACCCACTGGTCTAAAACAAAGTTTATTAATTTTAGATTCTCTTCCTAGTGCTTATTAGATCCTCTAGCAGCTGATTTCTCCGCCCCGTTTGCCATCTTCATCTTGCGTTCATCTGACTCTGAGATGATTACACTCTCACCAAGCTTCCGATTGTGATTTAGCTGCTTGTGGAGGTTATGCTGATGACTGTTTTCTGTTTCCTTTGTAATTCATTCATTCAACAAATATTATGAGCACTTTCCGTGTGCCAAACTGTACTCTAGGTTCCAAATGCAAACAAGACAGAGTTGGGGGAGGGGGCATTCTCACTTTGTCTCATTTGCATACTGAGCCTAAACTTTTTTTTTTTTTTTTTTGAGACAGAGTCTCACTTTGTTGCCCAGGCTAGAGTGAGTGCCGTGGCGTTAGCCTAGCTCACAGCAACCTCAAACTCCTGGACTAAAGCTTTCCTTCTGCCTCAGCCTCCCGAGTAGCTGGGACTACAGGCATGCACCACCATGTGCAGCTAATTTTTTCTACATATATATTTTTAGTTGTCCGGCTAATTTCTATTTTTAGTGGAGACGGGGTCACGCTGGACGAAGGAAGGGACAAGAGTCTGATGTGTGTTAAGAACTTTCCAGAAGTCCCCCAGTGGCTTCCCTTTATATCTCATGGGGGCAGGCCCATGTTATATAGATGCCCCTAGCTGTATGGGAAGCTGGAAATGTAGTTTTTAAATTAGTACATCGCTGCTTTGAGTGAAATGGGAGTTCTGTTAGAAGAAGGGGGAGATAGATATTAGGTAACAGGATCTACCACATTTGGCTTGTGCGAATATGCTTCAGAGAGAGAAAGAAGGGTGAGTGCACACATGTGCATGTTTTCTTTTGGAGTGTGAAAAAATCAGGTTCCTAAATGTGGAAGGTACAGATTTTGGCCCATGGCTAGGGTGAATCACCGATACTGTTCTTATAAACCTTCTTCAGAATATACCTGCTTGTTTGAAAAATTTTCCACAAAAACCACCACTTCATTCTTTACACCCACTAGTTTTTATTTCCTAAGTCTGACCCTGAGGCATCACTTGTTAATTGTACCTACTGATTCTCTGGTGTTCTGCCTTCACAGATAACATACTTCTGTTGCTCTTTTTGACATTTTTGATTCTCGTTATGGAAGGCAAGGTTTTAGTTCTCATTGTCACTCTGCCTTCTGTTTTTCCAGTATTAATCTAATTTTAAAAATCAGTATTCAGGCTGCGCGTGGTGGCTCACGCCTGTAATCCTAGCTCTCTGGGAGGCTGAGGCGGGCGGATTGCTCAAGGTCAGGAGTTTGAAACCAGCCTGAGCAAGAGCAAGACCCCGTCTCTACTAATAGAAAGAAATTAATTGGCCAACTAATATATACAAAAAATTAGCCGGGCATGGTGGCGAATGCCTGTAGTCCCAGCTACTTGGGAGGCTGAGGCAGGAGGATTGCTTGAGCCAGGAGTTTGAGGTTGCTGTGAGCTAGGCTGATGCCATGGCACTCACTCTAGCCTGGGCAACAAAGTGAGACTCTGTCTCAAAAAAAAAAAAAAAAAAAATCAGTATTCAGGCCAGGCATGGTGGCTCATGCTTGTAATCCCAGCACTTTGGGAGGCTGAGGCAGGAGGATTGCTTGAGGCCAGGAGTTCAAGACCAGCCTGAGCAAAATAACAAGACCCCGTCTCCATGAAAAATTAGCTGAATATCATGGCACATGCCTGTAGTCCCAGCTACTTGGGAGACTGAGGCAGGAGGAAACCTTGAGCCCCAGGAGTTTGAGTTTGCGGTGAACTATGATGATGCCATTGCACCCTAGCCTGGGTGACAGAGTGAGACCCTACCACATGTTGAAAAAATAAAATAAAACTGGGAACTTCAAGTGCTTGGTGGGACAGATTTCAGTGTGGTCAGATAACATTTGGTTCTCCTCCTCCTGCCCATGGTACATCCCTAGCACCAGCATTTTGGAAGCTGGGCCAGGGGAAGAGGACAGAGGTTCTCACTATCTGTTATTGAGACTTTACTTTCATACCCATTATCAGTATGCCCCCTTCCTACCCCTCCATCCTGTCCCTGAATCAACAGCCTCTTTGGTTCTATTTCTGTAGAAAATAGACCTAAGTTGGCCATCTGGACATACAGGGGCAGCAAGTGGAGGGAACCTTTGACCTGTCCTCCCTCCTTCAGCCCCACTTACCCCCAATAGCTCTCTCTCCTGGTTCTCTCAGTTTCTGGGTCTCTCGGGGCTGCAGACCATTCCCTTTTATTAATATATCAACACTACTCTGCCAAGTCAGTTGTCACACTGCTTCTGCCACATCCGGTTTGTTTTTAAGCCTCTTGTCCTGTGATCATGTTATACCTTTCTTATTTCTTCATGGTTAGGAGAGAGTAGAGGGTGTGTGTTAAGTCTGCCTTGCTCAGCTGGAAGTTTTGCATGTCTTTTCCTATTAGAGATTTTTCTCAGTCTTTGGAGCAGCAGACTGAGATTTATTGAGCACCACTGTGTTTCCAGCCTCTTTTGTTCAGGATTATGTAGGTCACATAAGTATCAGGCAGGTTTCTTGCTTTCAAGGGATTTTAATCTAGTTAGGAAGATAAAAATGTAGCTCAAATAGCTAACATATTTATGGTCTGAATATTTGTGTCCTCCCAAAACTCAAATGTTAAAACCCAGTCACCAAGGTGATGGTATTAGGAGGAGGGGATGAGGTCATTAGGGTGGAGCCCTCATGAATGGGATTAAGTGCCTTTATGAAAGTGAACCTAGAGAGCTGCCTTGCACATCTACCACATGAGGACACAGCTAGGAGGTGCCATCAGTGACCAGAAAGTGAGGCCTCACCAGACACTGAATCTGCCTGTGTCTTGGTCTTATATTTCCTAACCTTTAGAACTGTGAGGAATCTCTAGAGTTGTTGGTTGTTTATAAGCCACCCACTTGACAGTGTTTTGTTATAGCAGCCCAAATGGACTAAGGTAAGTATTAATATTATTAACACTTAGTGCTATAGCTTTTCGGAGAAGAGAAAGATTTTCATGGACTAGAACAACTGGTAGATGCTTCTTAGAGGATATGGGGTTTTAGCTGAGTCTAGAGGGATGGAATAGCAATTAGGGAAATGGGAAGGAATTAAATCTAGGCAAGAAAGAAGATTGAGCAAAGGGGTGGAAGTGAGTAGAGTAGTTTGAAGCAGGTAACATGTAAATAATAGTAGGGTCATAGAGATGAGGTGGCCAGATTCAGGAAGATACTGTGTACAGACGAATTTGGATTTGATGAAATGCGTGGTGGGAAACCATTGAGGAAAAGTCAGTGGGTCAAAGTAATGTGGGGAAGAGGCAGTGGTACAAGCATGCAAGCAGTGGCACACAGGAGTTCATGAAAGCTCAACATTTCAATAGTAAAATTTTCAGGAATTTTGTGACCTGGTTAATGTAACTTTGGGTAGTTTGAAATCAGCTCTGGTGGGAACATTTACACCACAGGAATGGGCAAATGTTACAAAACAGGCCTTTGCCTCCCACCAAGAGCTGGTTATTAAACATTCATCTGTCTGCCACTGTATGTAGGACCTGAAGGGACAAACTTCATTTTAATGACTATTTGATGCCAGGCATGTTGCAGCTAAACCTGCTGAAGGCCTCTCACCCCGGTTAAAAGGGCTTTTATCAAAAAGGCAATGACAAATGCTGGCGAGGATGTGGAGAAAGGGGAACCCTCATACACTGGTGGGAATAGTGCAACAACTGTGGAGAACAGTGTGGAGATCCCTTAAAAATCTGGAAATAGTCTTTTCCACGCTACCCAGAGAGGGGCCCATGCAGTGTTGTTCTGGATTTCCCTCATAACTTAAAGGGAAACTATCACAATGTCTGCTGCCCTTGACATCCTGCAAATCAGGGAAGAGGATGTCTTCCAGTTCCTTGCAGCAGGAACCCATTTAAGGTGGCACCAACCTTGACTTCCAAATGGAGCAGCACATCTACAAAAGGAAAAGTGATGGCATCTGCATCACAAATCTGAAGAGGACCTAGGAGAAGCTTCTCTTGGCAGCTCGTGCCATTGTTGCCATTGAAAACCCTGCCGATGTCAGCGTCATATCCTCCAGGAATACCAGCCAGCAAGCTGTGCTGAAGTTTGCTGCTGCCACTGGAGCCACTCCTGTTGCTGCTCACTTCACTTCTGGAACCTTCACTAACCAGGTCCCAGCAGCTTTCTGGGATCCATGTCTTCTGGTGGTTCCTGACCCCAGGACTGACCACCAGCCTCTCACAGAGGCGTCTTGTGTTAACCTGCCCACCATTGTCTGTGTAATGCGGAGTCTCCTCTGCATCACGTGGACATCGCCATCCCACGCAGCAGCAAGGGAGCTCACTCAGTGGGTCTGATGTGGTGGATGCTGGCCTAGGAAGTTCTCCGCCTGCGTGTCACCATCTCCGTGAACACCCGTGTTCATGCCTGACCTCTGCTTCTACAGAGATCCTGAAAAGATTGCAAAAGAAGAACAGGCTGCTGCTGAGAAAACTGTGACCAAAGAGGGATTTCAGAGTGAAATGACTGCTGTTCAGCCCGAGGTTGCAGACTGGTGTGAAGGCATGTAGGCTTCTGCCTGTTCAGCATTCCCCACTGAAGACTGGTCTGCAGCTCCCACTGCCCGGGCCACTGAGTGGGTACGAACAACCACCGAGTGGTCTTAAGTTCTTCCACAAACTCTTAAACAAGGTGAAATAGAGTTGATGGAAAATAAACATTAATTTCTTTAAAAAAAAACAACCTGGAAATAGAAGTACTGTATGATCCAGTGATCCCTCTGCTGAGTGTATATCCAAAGGAGAGGAATTCAATGTATCGAGAAGATATCTGCACTCCCATGTTGATTACATCACTATTCACAATAGCCAAGATTTGGGATCAATGTGTGTCCATCAGTGGATGACTGGATAAAGAAATTGTAGTACATGTACATGATGGAATATGATATGGCCGCAAAAAAGAAGGAAATCCTGCCATTTGTAACAACATGGATGGAACTGGAGAACATATTAAGTGAAATAAGCTAAGCACAGAAAGACCAATCTGGCATGTTCTCATATCTGGGAGCTAAATATTAAAAACAATTGATCTCATGGAGACAGAGTAAAATGATGGTTAGCAGAGGATAAGAAGGGCAGCAGGGAGGGTGGATAAAGAGGGAATGGATAAAGGGGGGAAAATGTAACTATATAGACTGAACAATTTTTGATAGCAGAACAAAGTGACTATAATCAACAGTAAGTTAGGGTGTGCTTTAAAAGAGTGGAACTGAAGTGGTCGTAACAAAGCAATGATAAATGCCTGAGGTGATGAATACAAAAATTATCCTCATTTCATTAATTTACATGGTTTGTATCAAAACGTATCCTATAAAGATGTACAACTATTGGCCCAACATGGTGGCTCACGTCTGTAATCCCAGCACTTTGGGAGGCCAAAACGTGAGGATTGCTTGAGGCCAGGAGTTTTGAGACCAGCCTGAGCAAGAGTGAGACCCATCTCTACAAAAAATAGAAAAAATTAGCTGGGTGTGGTATCTCCTGCCTGCAGTCCCAGCTGCTCAGCAGGCTGAGGCAGAATAGCTTGAGCCTAGGAGTTGGAGGTTGCATTGAGCTGTGATGATGCCACTTGCACTCTAGCTGAGGCAACAGAGCAACACCCTATCTCAACAGGGGGGGTGGGGGATGATATACAACTATTATGTACCCATAATAATTAAAAATTAGAAAAAAATTAAAAACAAAGCACACAGTTCAGTGGTTTTTAGTATATTCACAGGGTTGTACACCCCTAACCACTATTTAATTCCAGAACATTTTGATCACCAAAAAATGAAACTCTGCCTGTTAGCAGTTACCATTCTCCCAACATCCCCAGCCCCTGGTAACCTCTATTCCTCATTGTTTCCATGGATTTTGCCTATTTTGGACATTTCATGTAAATAGCATCATCAAATATGTGACCTTCTATGACTGGCTTCTTTTCACTTAGCATTATGTTTTGAACGCTAATCTGTGTTGTAACATGTACCAAACTTCATTCTTTTTTAAGGCTAATATTCCATTGTGTGATTCTGTTGCCTTTTATTTGCCCATCATTTTGTGGACATTTCAGTTGCTTTCACTTTTTGGTTATGAATAATGATGCTGTGAACTTTTGTGTACATGTTTTCAGTTCTTTTGAGCATGTACCTAGAAGTGCAATTGCTGAGTCATATGGTAACTCTGTTTAAATTTTTGAGGAACTGCCAAAGTTTCTACAGCAGCTGCACCATTTATATTCCCACCAGCAGAGTGCAAGTGTTCTAACTTCTCCACATCCTCTCCAACACTTATTTTGCATTTTTAAAATTATAGCCATCCTAGTGGGTGTGAAGTTGTATCTCATTATGGTTTTGAGTTTCATTTCCCTGATGACTAATGACATTGAGCATATTTTCATGGACTTACCAGTTGTACATCATCTTTGGAGAAATGTCTTTAAATCTTTTGTGCATTTTAGATTGGATTATATATCTTTGTATTGAGTTGTAAAAGAGTTTATATATTCTGGGTACTAGACCCAGACCCTTATCAAATATGATTTGAAAATATTTTCTGCCATTCTGTGGGTTGTCTTTTCATTTTCTTGGTAGTGTCCTTTGAAACACAGAAAGTTCTAAATTTTGATGAAGTCCAGTTTATTCTTTGGTTTTTGGGTTTTTGGTGTTATATGAAAGAAACCATTGTCTACCAAGGTCACAAAGATTTACACTTGTGTGTTCTTCTAAGTGTCTTACAGCTTTAGCTCTTTTATGTCTAATCCATTTTGGATTAATTTTTATATATAGTGTAAGGTAGGGGTCCAACTTCGTTCTTTTGCATGTTGATAGGTGTCCCAGCTTGTTGAAAAGGCCACTTGTTGAAAAGACTATTCTTTCCCCCCATTGAGTGGTCTTGGCACCTTTGTTGAAAAAAAATCAGTTGACTATAGATGTATAGATTTATTTCTGGACTCTTAATGTGAACTCTCTGTTCCGTTCCATTGATCTGTATGTCTCCTCTTATGCCAGTACCACACTGGCCTAATCACTGTAGCTTTAGTAGGTTTTGAAATTGGGAAGTATGAGTCTTCCAACTATGTTATTTTTTAAGAGTGTTTTGGCTATTCAGAGTCCCTTGGATTTTCATATGAATTTTCTAATTGTCCATTTCTACAGGAAGGACTGATGAAATTTTGATAGTAGGTTCATTGAATCTGTAGATCAATTTGGGGAATATTACCACCTTAACAATATTAAATCTTCCAATCCATGAACATGAAATGTTTTTCCATTTATCATTTATTTGGATCTTCTTTAATTTATTTTAATAATATTTTATAGTTTTCAGTGTACGAATCTTGCACTTATAAATTTAGTGCTACTTATTCTTTTAGATCCTATTGTAAATGGAGTTTTCTTAATTTCATTTTTGTATTCTTCATTGCTAAAGTAGAAATACAGCTGACTTTTTGTATTGGTCTTGTGTCCTGCAACCTTGCTGAACTCATTTTTAGCTCCTTTTTGTGTGTGGCTCCTTCAGGGTTTATATACACGATCTTACTCCTCTTGACCATCTGCTTCCCTCTCCACAGGCCTTGCAGCTTCTCCACCGCCGAACAGCACCCCTTGATGAGCAGCACCTGGTGGAGGCTGCCAAGCTTCTCGTCCTCCTGAACCTGTCCTTTGCATACCTGAAGCTAGACCGGCCGATAATGGCGCTGCGCTATGGAGAGCAGGCTTTGCTCATTGACCAAAAGAATGCCAAGGCCCTCTTCAGATGTGGACAGGTGAGTTGGAGGGCAGGGACTTGGGAACAAGCATCTTAGAAAAGACAGCAGCAGTGCTCAGCTCAGGTACTGTAAACATGCTGTCTTTCCTAAGTATGTTTTTTAAAACTCTGCCCTTTATGGTAGGCTTGTCTTCTCATGACTGAGTATCAGAAAGCCCGAGATTTCCTAGTCCGAGCCCAGAAGGAGCAACCCTTCAATCACGACATCAATAATGAGCTGAAGAAATTGGCCAGGTGAGACTTCTGTCTGTGGGAACGTGAACAGAGGAGATGTGATGCGGCTGCAGTTCTGGTCCATCTACCTGGGTAAAGGACTGTCTGGGAACATTGCCCAGAACGTGTTATGAGTCAGCCCCTGCTAGAGCTGGTTTTCTGAATGCTCAGTACGCTGAAACAGCAGTTCCCAGGGAGGAGGTCAGACAGACTGCCAAACTACAGATGTCTGGATCATTTTTCACCTTTCTCTTCCTCCTACCCCGTAAATAAGCACCCCGGGAAGTGGTCCAGGCAAATTTTAAAAAAATTTCTTAGGTATTGCTCTGGTGTCTAGGCTGGAGTGCAGTGGCATGATTATAGCTAACTGCAACCTCAAACTCCTAGGCTTAAGCAGTCCTCTCACTTCAGCCTCCCAAGTAGCTGGCACTACAGGTACGCACCACCATGTCTGGCTCGTTTTAAACTTTTTTTTTTTTTTTTTTTTGAGACAGAGTCTCACTCTGTTGCCGCAGTTAGAGTGCCGTGGCGTCAGCCTAGCTCACAGCAACCTCAAACTCCTGGGCTCAAGCGATCCTCCTGCCTCAGCCTCCCAAGTAGCTGGGACTATAGGCATGTGCCACCATGCCAGGCTAATTTTTTCTATATATGTATTAGTTGGCCAATTAATTTCTTTCTATTTATAGTAGAGATAGGGTCTCGCTCTTGCTCAGGCTGGTTTCGAACTCCTGACCTCGAGCAATCCGCCCGCCTCGGCCTCCCAGAGTGTTAGGGATTACAGGCGTGAGCCAGTGCGCCTGGCCTTAAACATTTTTTGTAGAGACAGAATCTCACTATGTTGCCTGGTCTTAAACTGTTGGCTGGATTTGAACTTGTGACTTCAAGCGGTCCTCCCACGATGGCCTCCCAAAGTGCTGGGATTAGAGGTGTGAGCCAACACGCCTGGAATATTTCTTCTATATTGATGAGTTTCTCTATTCTTCTTAACATTAAATATTCAATCCAGATTGCTAGTTAAAGCTTTCTTGGCTTTAAGAATCTGAGATGTGGCCGGGCGCGGTGGCTCACACGTGTAATCCTAGCACTCTGGGAGGCCGAGGGGGGCGGATTGCTTGAGGTCGGGAGTTTGAAAACAGCCTGAGCAAGAGCGAGACCCTGTCTCTACTATAAATAGAAAGAAATTAATTGGCTAACTAATATATATAGAAAAAATTAGCTGGGCATGGTGGCGTATGCCTGTAGTCCCAGCTGCTTTAGAGGCTGAGGCAGTAGGATTGCTTGAGCCCAGGAGTTTGAGGTTGCTGTGAGCTAGGTTGATGCCACAGCATTCATTCTAGCCTGGGCAACAAAGCTAGACTCTGTCTCAAAAAAAAAAAAAAAAAAAAAATCTGAGATGTGTGCATCTCTTACGTTTGGAACCATTGGTTACGTGTCAGCCCTTTTAGGACTTCCCAGCAAGTTCCTTTCTGGTATTCAGAAGTGTCCTGTCAAGTTAGATGCAGAAATTTTGGGATCTGACCATTATTCAGCAAGAATATCTCAAGGTAGGCTAGAGAATGCAGTGTGAGGGGCCACTTGGCAAGATACAGCCTTGGAGCCTCACTGAAAGGCTCCCACGCATCAGGGCTGCTGTCTGCTCGTGGGTGGGCTTTATGTCCAAGAGCTTCCTGAACAGCTGCTGGGAGCTTTCCCATCTCCTCCACCTTCCCTGTGTTGCTTCCACCCTTTCCTGATTCACCTTAAGGGCTGCTGAATTTTCAGTGTCTCTGGATGGGAGTGAGAATTCCAGCCACCAGATGTCACCTCCTACAAACACAGACCTTCTCTAACTAGTGTATATTCTCTCAACAGCTATTACAGGGACTATGTGGATAAGGAGAAAGAAATGTGTCACCGAATGTTTGCTCCTTGTGGAGATGGCACTACAGTAGGAGAAAATTGAAGGTAATTGAAGGTCTGGGTGACAGACAGGCTTCAGGTTTTTGTCCACTTTAGACAAGTATGTTGTTCTTGGCCTCCCACTGAACAGTGGCTGTCTACAGCTGAGGGTGGATTAGGGGGCAGGCATGGTTCGGAAAGCTCTTTGTTGCTGCTAATGACACAATTATAGTGCAGAATGCTGATACTGTGGGCCTTTTCATACAGAAGATCACTATTGGACAGTTCAACCAGACCTGGAGGTTAAATTTATAGGTTTGAGGGGCCTTGATCTTTAAAAATTTCTAAAAATATTTTCTTCATTTTTATGTTAAACTCTCTTTGAGATAGTTTGGAACTTGGAACATGAAACTGAGTATGGTCGTTAGTGTGAAGATTTAGCTGGTCTTTGAAGTGAAGTATCAGGCTTTTCTTAATCTGTTTTTCCTGAGAACTTGGAAGCCTTCAGCCTCACTTTACCTGTAACACATCATTAAAGAAGACAAAATCCAGGTGTCAAGGGGTAGGAATGGGCTGTGGCTCTTCAGTTCTGTGTACTGTTAGAATTAGAGACCATGCTAAAACCAAGGGGAGCAGAGTCCAGCATCCTACCCAGCACAGGCCTTGTGATTTAGCAGGCACAGGGCAAGGTTTCCCCACGAGCACGTGAGATAACCCTCCAGTCTGGTCTATTTAAGAAAATTAATGGAAACAAAATCACCTGCCTTAAACACCTGCTTAGCTGGGCAGATAACTCCACTCTCTTGAGAGCAGTTAAATAAGGAATAACAAGAAAACAGCTGCTGAACGGGCTCATGGTGATAAATCTCTCCTTTGTTGCTACCTACATCTCTCTACAAAAGAGGCTTGAGAGGAGGCGGTGAAAAGGCCTATTCATCCCAGACGTTCTCACAAATGGTCTGCAAAGTGCTGCTGCCTGCCCTGTCAAGTGCAGCCAGTCTGCATCGGAATAAATGTGGATCATGATGCTGACCCTTCATCATGATGCTGACCCTTTGACCCTGGCTTTCAGGTCTTTTGGGGGAACTTTGGAGTCATATTTTCAGGTCTTCTGAACTGAGGCATGAGCCAGAAGACTTCTATCATTTGGCTACTGTTAATGTGTGGTGGAAGTGGAGGACTATTGGCTGGGCATTTTGGACTGCAATCTGACAGGTCCTGCCATTAATGAAAATCCAGTCTTCCAGGGTCCATCCTAAAACCAGGCTTGGGAAACCCATCTGGGCAACAGTTTCCTTTTCTCCATCTTTGCCTCCTATCCTTTTTGGTCTATAAGACTTTGGATGCTGATTTTTATTTTTTTATTAATATTTCAATAGACTTAGGGGGTATGTATAAGTGGTTTTTGTTATGTGGATGAATTGTATAATACTGAAGTCAGGGCTTTTAGTATACCCATCACCAGATAGTATACGTTGTGCCCAATGGGTAGATTCTTATTCTTTACCCTCCCCCCAATGTCCTCCCCCCCATAAAGGACACTGTTTTCAGTGTCCTTTATGTCTCTTTGTGCCTGTGTGTACCCTTCATTTAGCCCCCACTTAAAAGTGAGAGCATGTGGGTGGTATCTGTTTTTCCATTCCTGAGATACCTAGGATAATGGTCTCCAGTTCCATCCAAGTTGCTGCAGAAAACATTTTATTCCTTTTTGTGGCTGAGTAGTCTCCATGGTGTACACACACATGCATACCACATTTTCTTTCTTTTTTTTTTTTTTTGAGACAGAGTCTCACTTTGGTGGTATCTCATTATGGTTTTAATTTGCATTTCTCTGATTAGTAATGTTGAGCATTTTTCCATGTTTGGCAATTTGTCTATCTTCTTTTGAAAAAAATCTGTTCATGTCTTTCACTCACTTTTTGATGGGATTATTTGTTTTCTTGTTTGAGTTCTTTATAGATTCTAGATATTAGCCCTTTGTCAGATGTATAGTTTGCAAATATTTTCTCCCGTTCTGTATGCTATTTACTCTGTTGATTTCCTTTGCTGTTCAGAAATTTTTGTTTAATTAAGGGCCTTTTTTTGTTGTTGCTGCATTTGCTTTTGGGGTCTTAGTCATAAATTCTTTGCCTAGGCCCATGTCCAGAAAAGTTTTTCATATTTATTTATTTGATTTTAGGTCTTAAGTTTAATTAAGTCTTTTATCCCTCTTGAGTTAATTTTCATATATGGTGAGAGATAGGGATCCAGTTTCATTCTTCTGCATGTGGCTACCCAGTTTTCTTGGCACCATTTATTGACTAGAGTGTCCTTTCACCCACTGTATGTTTTTATCTGCTTTGTCGAAAATCAGCTGGTTGTGGCTATATGGCTTTATTTCTGGGTTCTCTTTTATTTCGTTTATCTATGTGTCGACTTTTATACAGTACCATGCTGTAGTTGGTTACAATAGCCTGTAGTATAACTTGAAGTCAGATGATGTGATGTGGAAGCTGATTTTTAGATAGTTTCCCATGTATTTCTAACTTGTGAATGTTTGTCTTATCAGTAGTGACTATATTTGGGTCTAAAATGGCCACAATTGTCATATTCCACTGCCACTAAGATTGTAACATATTTTAGCTTTTGTGTCTTTGTTCTTCCTATTCCCTTTTTTTTTTTCTGTTGTACCTGTTGCCTAGTTAGTATTAAAAGAAGATAAAAACTTGGTCATCTTGACAATCTAGTTTCAACTAGGACCATTTCAGCTTTTGCGCTTGTTTTCTTAGATGTTAGATATTACTGACTTGTAGGATTACTTATGGTAGAATGAGTTTTCTATCAATTCTCTAAGCCTCTGATTATGGTAGATAGAATTTTTTGAGATCAGAGACTATGTATTTTTCATCTTTGTATTTTCTAGCATCTGGAACCATGTTTGGCACATGATCAGTGCTCAGTAAATGTTGGTTGGATTAAGTGTAAGGCAGCCACAGCAGTAGACTAGCCTCTTGTAAAATGTGTTCTGGGCTGGCTCTCGTATTGGCTGTCAGGACTCTTGTTACTGCCAGTGACAGAAGCCCATCTTTAGCATCAGCTAAAAACGATTTACAGAAGGGGCCGGGCGTGGTGGCTCATGCCTGTAATCCTAGCTCTCTGGGAGGCCGAGGCGGGCGGATTGCTCGAGGTCAGGAGTTCGAAACCAGCCTGAGCAAGAGCGAGACCCTGTCTCTACTATAAATAGAAAGAAATTAATTGGCCAACTAATATATATAGAAAAAATGAGCCAGGCATGGTGGCGCATGCCTGTAGTCCCAGCTACTTGGGAGGCTGAGGCAGAAGGATTGCTTGAGCCCAGGAGTTTGAGGTTGCTGTGAGTTAGGCTGACGCCACGGCACTCACTCTAGCCTGGGCAACAAAGGGAGACTCTGTCTCAAAAAAAAAAAAAAAAGATTTACAGAAGGAATCCTGGGAGTAGCTTACAGAGTTAAAGCAGGAGTTTGGACAACACTTGGGCAGGTAGAGATCAGGCGGTTCTGAGGGCCTCAGGAACTCAGTTTTTCCCTCTGTTTCATTCTCTCCCACAAGAAACAGGCATCCATCTTCACAGCTCTCTCTCTGATGGAGAGAGAGCTCTTCTTCATCCCGCACCTCCCTCCTCTTCTTGTCCCAACCATAACTCAGTTTGAAAAATCCTGGGCAGGACCCTGGCCTGGTTTGGGGTGTGTAGAGCCCTGTGAGGATCTCCCATCCCCAGCACCACATGGTAGGAATTGCAATAAGAATGATTCTCTGAGAGAAGGGGGCTGCTGTTTCCCAAAACCCAGGGGGTGGAGACCATAACCAGCAAGGTGCCCATCGTGGGCGCTGTGATATTGTGGTGTCACTGTCCTTTAGAGTGGGACTTGTCCTGCTGTGATGGAGCAGGGGACCACTTGCCAGTTCTATGAGTTAGGAGTCTGTGGCAGCTCCTGGTGCTGGGAGGCTGAACAGTGGAAGGAACAGGTATGTCCATGGCTTTGCACAGAGTCTCCCTCCCTCAGGATTTTCAGAGGAGCCAAAATATACACCTTTACATGAGAGTGTTGTTTGGATAATCTAAGAAGTCAAGATTAGAAGTCAATGCTTTGACTCACATACATCAGGAGACCTAGAGGTTTATAGCAAACCCCAAGTTCATATTTGATAAGCTGTTTTGAAACTGCTTTTCCTGTAGTTTGCAAAGCAGTGGAGTCAATATTCCTATATTTGTTTATAATGCATGTTTATTTCATAAGTCAGCCAAGTGCAGTGGCTCATGCCTGTTATCCTGGCACTCTGGGAGGCAGAGGCAGGAGGATCACTTGAGGTCAGCAGTTGGAGACCAGCCTGAGCCAGCGTGAAATCCTGTCTCTACTAAAAATAGAAAACAATTAGCCAGGCATGGTGACACATGCCTATAGTCCCAGATACTTGGGAGGCTGAGGCAGGAGGATTACTAAAGCCCAGGAGTTTGAGGTTGCTGTGAACTAAACTGATGCCACGGCACTCTAGCCCGGGCAACAGAGACTCTGTCTCAAAAAAAAAAAAAAACAAAAACAAAAAACTTTCATAGGTGTACATGTTTTAACTGTCCCCATGGTAAGACTTCATTCACCAGAGCTCCATCCACAGTAGTAGTGATTTACCAGGGGCACCAAAGAGCTTTTAGAACCCATGCTATCATCATTGGAAAACACTTGGAGTGTGGCATTTAACATTTTCCTTCATTCTGTTTCTGTTGCCTTTCATCATCATCCTCATTTAGAGTTTGCATTATGTCTTTCCTTCCCAACATGCTGCTATCTGGGACCCTTGTGATAATTTTATTGTGTCTGGAAAAGAGATGTAAAGGGAGCTCTTGTAGCTTTGTTCAGCCATGTAAGTGGTTAAGATACAACAGGTAACATTTATTCTGTGCTTTCCAAAGATCAGGACCAGCAAGTGGACACAATAGGAAGACAGGATTTGGCCTAATATGAGGGTTTACTAATTAAATATCCTACCATAAGTAGCACTAAGTTATCCCACATGGGGAGCACACAATGAAAAGGTAACACATTTGACTA